CCTGAAATAAATAGTTATAAGAGGTAAAATGATATGTATTTATATTCTTTTTTTTCTTTTTTTGAATACAAGTATTTATATTCTTTAAAAAGATACACACTAAACCCTTACAAATATATATAAAACTAACCGTATCTTAAATAAGAGATTCATGTATCTCGAGCCCTTTCATGTCTATATGTAAGGGCAAATGTTATCTTCGAATTATAATTGATTTGGAGTACATGTACTGATATATTGGTAACAGTAAAACTATCCCCGCACGTTCCCAACCCACTAAAAAGAAGGACAAAATAAATCGGCTGTGTCTAGTGGGAACTTTAGATAAAAAGCTAGTCATTCATGTCTTCGCATATCAACAAGTATCGAACACAATGAAAGCCGTAAACTGATGTTATTGGAATATTGGTGTTATTCGGCATCTTTTTGCATTCAATGTGTCAAACTGGTATGATGAAGAAATTGTGAATGACCTATAAGATTCCCACTCCCTCAATCTGATCACTATGCTTGTCATTCATCAATCATCATATCCCACTTCTTTGTTCTTCGAAAATATCCAAATCGATTTCCCGAGTATGATAAGGATTCTTCAACGCAGTCAACTGTTAATGTGCAATTATGAACCGACGAATTTATACAAATTAAAATGATCATACATTTAAAAAAATTAAATTTAATATACATTGCAATAATTATAATTTAAATTAGATTATGATACAAATATATAAATAGTTTCTTTAAATTAAATTTAATTAGATGTGAAACATAATAATAAAATATTAAGATTTTTTTTATTAGATGATTAAATTTTTTAATATTTCAACATAATAATCAATAACTTTTTAATGTAACAAATACCAATCAAAGTTATCAAATGGTGATAACTCAGTTGTCGTATAAGAGTTAAGCAGGTGGGGGGTGAGAACATGTGTTCGATCCTCCCCAGTACTATATTTGGGAGAGGTTTAAAGCCTTAATCCTGAACCCGTTCCGAATCAGACTAGTCGCGAAGCGATAAATCAATTGGAATATTTCCAAAAAAAATACCAATCAAAGTTGAAACTATATATGATACTTTGTCTTCATACGACCTAGTTGGAGAGACAAGTTCATCCACATCTTTAGAATTTATATACTCATTAATTATGATTTTTTGTATTGAACCCAATGGGCAGATAAATTTCTTGCCTTCACCACTTAGGTTGGAATCTTCAGTTAAGGACTTAATTTCAGAGCAAAAAAATTAACTTCGAATAGCTTATCGTATTCTCTTTTTTTTTTTTTTTTTTACAAGAACTTATCGTATTCTCTAACCAGTCATATAGCCCTAATTTATTGGGTCAACCATTAAAGTTCATATAAAAGATTATATTGCTGCATTTTTATAGTGAGACATTTGTTGCCTCATTATACATTGAATTTCATTTTCCATACACACACACCTTATGCATTAGGTGAAGATGTTTGCCTCACATCTAGTGAGGTCCATGAGGACAAAAACTAATAACGACTCATATCTCACTCATTATTAAAAAATCTTTTCTATTTATATATATATCCTTCTTTTTGCCATTGTAGAGGCACCTATTGCACACTTACTCTCCTTGTTGTTACTATGCAGAATTACAGCCTTAACAGTCACTGATAAACCTTTAGTTTATCTTGTTTTATGGACTAAAATAATGTAAATTATCTAGTTGGAAAAGTCAAAAACTAGGGTTTTAATAAGATAATCATGAAATTGATGAATTATTAATTAAAAGAATTATCTTTGCTAATTTTAAGGGATTTGTTGACAAAATAGATTCAATTATCAAGAGTTGGATAAAGAGAAATCAAATCAGCAAAGGTGATGGAACAAGGTGGAAACAAGAAGATCAAAACCTTATCAAGTTGTTAGAAGAGGGAGCTTAAGCCCCCATTCAGAAGCTTAAGCTCCCTAAATACGCAAATGGCCACTGCTTCTGGGCGCTTAAGCCCCCAACTCGAAGCTTAAGCGCGCAGCCAGAAGGAATTTCCAAGTCGAGGAGCGCGCTTAAGCGCTCTCCAGAGAGCTTAAGCGTGCAAACGCGAATCTAAAATCACCGTCCTAGGGCGCTTAAGCGCGCTACAGCAAGCTTAAGCGTCCCGACAGATCCAACTTAGGCCCATTCAACGTGTTCTATTGGGATACAAACTCTTGGCCAATAAAAGGACCATTGGGGACCAGAAATACATAACTTTTACATTGCAAAACAATTCTTGGTGCTTGGAGGCGGAGGGAACGCGAAAGATTCATCGATTCATGTTCGTGAGCGGCGGAGACGGATCAACGTCAAGTTTTCACTGGAAATATTGAAGATTCACCAATCATCCATGGAGTTTGGGGGAGCTTTTCTAGTTTCTTTTGTCCTTGATATTGTTATGTCTGGCTAGTTCTTTAAGTAGTTAGGGTCAGATGGAATTCAATCAATTTATTATGCTTTGAACAATTCGTTATGTTAATTTCTCTTTATATCATGAATGAAATTATCTGTTTTTAATGCTTTATATAGGCTTGAATCCTAAATAATGATCGTTGGTAAATGCATGACAATAGGAATGTTGGTGTGTGATCCTTATCTGATAATTTCATCGTACGCTTTATGATTCTAGGAATAGACATAGGGTTTGCGTAATCGTTAAGATTCTTGAACGTAATGCTTGCATGCTTGGGGAATAACCGGGAAACTAGGGTTCTTTCAAGTTTGTAAAGGTTTTAGGGTAACAAGGAATTGAGCTCTAATAACATGTGAAAGAATTGATTAGATTGATACTAAGAACGATTAACGTGAAGAAGGAATTCAAATGTAATAAAGAGATTGAAGGAAATCGAAACCCTGGCTACGTTTTTATTTACGTTAGTTAATTCAAATTTTTACTTTCTTGTTTTCTTTTAATTATTGCGATTAATTAGTTTTGCTATTTAATATTTTAAATTCAAATCCTATTTCCAACTACAACATTGATTGTCCAACTTAAGTCGCGATAGTGAATTAGTGCTTGAGTATAATCCTCGTGGGAACGATCTCTTACTTAACACATTATATTACTTGTATTATCGATGCACTTGCCGTGAGTAGCAACAGTCACCTTGCCCAACACTTTCCTTTCATTTTGAGCCTTTGTCAACGACCCATTTGTGATTACTCATTTAGTTTATGTTCATACCTACGCCTCACCGAATTACTGTTATATTTACATACTTAATTTACCCTAGATAGAGGGAATCAAACTCATTTTCTCTAAACAAACAATTCACTGTACAACCAAAAAGATTTTACCTATTAAACCTGCGATACTTTGTCATAACTTATATACTCATTATAATTAACTTCTATTAATTTATGGGGAAAACTAATATTATGTAACATGATATAAATTTTTTTACCTACTCACTCATTGGTTTCCGAATCAACATTTTTTAATTTTTTATTATTATATGTATGAGATCCACATGATTTTTGTTTGAGTAGGAAAAATGCTTTAGATTATGTTACATGATAGTATGTTTACCCTTAATTTATTCAGGGGTTATATACAATAAATGTGTGTTTAAGCTTTTATCATGTAGTTAACCATGAAGATAATTTCATATCCTCTTCGATGTCGAGAAAAAATGAGAGTGGATATGCTAATTATAAGTACATGTTTATGCAGGTCCTCGCAAACAGACAAAAGTGGTTAGGTAAGATATAAAATAATTAATTTAGCTTCACCCAATGCTTTAAGATTTTGGGTTAAAATGACGCTTATCATGATATCTACACTCTTGCTCATTTCTTTGAAATCTTGCCCATAAATAGACTTAAAATTATAAATTACAAATAAATTTGAATTTGCTGAGGGTGTGTGTTAGAGAGATACAAAAAATGGACTTGTGCAGCACAAAACAGATTAATAATGGGCTTATGTCATATTCACGCTTCAAGTCCAAATAGCTCTTATGTAATTTGAATATATGCCTGTCTTATGCATATAATAACAACAGAAATAATAAATGTGTATATAAAAATACTAAAGGAGTAGCTGATTTTTTTTTTCATTCCTTTACGCATAGCCCAAAACAAATCTTAATTACTATTTTAATATTACGTATATAAGAATCTCTTCTTTTTTCATCTATAATTTTTATATAACAATATATTAGTAACAGCCAAAAATTATTAACTTAAATTTAGTTTAATTCGTGTTTGGATTTTGGATAACTTATTTTGAGACTAAAAAAAATTATTCCAATTTTTTTAAAGAAAGTGTTAAAAAATGAATATTTTTTAAAAGTAATAGCTTGATTACTATGCATACTGGCTGTGGTTTAAATGATAATTAACATGTGCTCCCTACAACAACCTTTTTTTTTGTACAAATTAAAAAATTCAGTGGACCCAGCTCTTGGATGAATTATGCATGTTCCTTTTTTTTTTTTTGGAAACATATTTTTGGAAAAAATGCATGTTCCTTTTTAAATGTTGCGGTAAAAAGACAAATATGTTGATTTCATATATGTAAACCTTTCTATATCCACTTGTTACAACTTACAACATATATATATATATATATATATATATATATATATATATATATATATATATATATATATATATATATATATATATATATATATATATATATATATATATATATATATATATATATATATATATATATATATATATATATATATATATATATATATATATATATATGATGGACACAAATTAAAGAGCAAAAAGATGTATCGCAATTGCAATTGAATTTCTAATCATTATGAATTATCGTCTAGAAAACAGCACATATAATTGATAAGCTGTACCACAGATTACTAAGAAAGGTAGTTGACTACAATCTTCACTCAAAAACTACACACCATTAAATTTACACAATTTCATTCCCACAATCCACTTTACTAGTCTAAAAAATATAGATTTAACTAAGTTTACCCCAGACCCTTTAATTTGTTTTTCAGGTGCGTCTTCTAATTAACAAGAAGTAGTCTTAAGCATGAATCGTTTAAGGATTAGGATGACCTCTTCTGCAACTTGTGAGTATGAATCATGTGTGAAAAATCCATGTTGGTTCCCCTCAAACTCAACATATTCAATGTCCTTCCCTAGTTCTTTTAACCTTGATGCATAGTCTGCTGCCCTATCCTTAAGCAATTCATTGCCACCTACAATCACCAAAATAGGGTCAAGCTTCACTTCTCCAAGATTTGGGCTGCCAGGTCCGAATGGATTCGCCAATGGGTGGTCTCTGGTCTCTCCAACTGGCATCGACATCCTCCAAAATCTGTTTGAAAATTAATATTTAATACTTTTAGCATGCTTAATTGTATAAAACACACACGCACACACACATATATCTATATATAATATTCCCAATCACCATCCTACCTATTACAAACTTTAATATTTCATTGTCACCTATTTGATAAATGGGATAATAGATTTTCATATTATATGAATTCGAAGTTTTCATGCAAATTATATATTCTGAAAAATACATAATTATAATATTAATTTTTTTATATTATAATTATATATTTTCTGAAATACATAATTTGTCGCATGAGAAAAAGGGACCCTTGATAAATATAAATAGCACCTAACAATTGACTTTATTTGTTGTGAATTAGAATATTGGATAAGGCTCAGAATAAATAAATGATTTCGAATTGGAACATATAAAAGCATTGCATTTTGCTACAATACCGGATTAGGTATATCCTCTGGAAAGTGAAAAAGTTTCTACGATTTTTATCTTTTTTAAGGATGGAATCTGAAGTGCGTTGATGACTGGCTGGGTTCTTTAATGTTAAATGAGTTTCATGTTATAACCCACTTGTTTTCGTAGTATTTGTTTATTTAATAAGATAGGAAATATTTAGATTTTGATTAATCATATTTTTTATTAATTGTAGGCATGCATCTCACAATATCTCACCCAAGTAATGGAAACCTATATCGAAAAAATAAAAATAAAAATAAAAAGTTCACGACAATGACGTTTCACTGTTCTCCACATATTAATGGACAAGTTTCTCTGATAATGTTGCATATGGTGGGACGAAGGCACCACGATGTGACACAAAGAGGTGGAAGAGGGACTAGCCAAGTGTTATCATTAATCACTTTAATTTTGTATGATTGATATGTGCAAATTTTGGCCTTTCCAAACATCATTGCCGTTTTGATTTCCTCACGTTTCCAAAACAATTCTCATTTAATTTTTCTTTCTGTTTTTTTTTTTAATTTATGCTCATGAAACGAGTTGACCAGATGAGTGAAGGTCATAATTTTTTTTTTAAATAATTTCACAAAAACCCTGCTAATGCCATTTTATTTTTAATAAAACTAAATAGAGGAAAAAAAAAGCCTTATAAAAAAAATAGAGGAAAAAGGAAAAAAAAAATCGTTCAATGCATAATTCTATACATATAAATTAAAAAAATATTGATAATATATGTAAAACTTAATAAAGTGGATATTCTCACCCAATAATTTTACTTACACTATTTCTTTATTAAAGTTATCAATACTGAGAAAATAAAATTTTCATAATTAATGCTTATAAATGCGTTAGATTATGCCATATCTCTCAAAAAAACAAGTGTCAAGTTATTTTTGTGGGTTTATTCGTAGACACATTTATGAACTATGAGAGGGAATTATAATGTGAATTCTAAGTAACAAACAACATTTTACTTCGTAAATATCATAATTAATAATTTTGTTATCCTTACCTGTCGAGTAACTCAAGGTTCAGCATTTGTTCCGGTGGACCTTCCTCGGACTTGGTTCGAACCTCCCCGCCGAAAAACGGCGCCAACAGAACGTAACCTCGTATCCGAACCGGGTCCATCTCCCTTGAACCGGATCCCAACCGAACCGCGAGTTGGTGCGCAATGTTCCCGCCAGATGAGTCACCCACGATAAAAACTCGGTCAAAGTCAACGTCATCATTCAACCACGTGTCCCCACCAATACCGTCTTCCTTCAAGCACAAACCCTGCCGTTGCAGCCACCTCACGGCCTCCACGGCGTCGTCAACCGCCGCCGGAAGCCGGTTCTCCGGTGCCAGGCGGTAGTCCGGCGCGACCACCACCGCTTGGAGTCCAGAGGCGAGGCGCACGCAACAGTTGTGAATATGGGGCCACGTGCGTGATCCGAAACAGAATCCTCCACCGTGGAAAAACATCACCACAGGGAGCTTCTTGTTGTTGTCGTTGTTGGAAGAGTGTTGGGGCTTGTAGAGGCGAAGAAAAAGGTTGAATCTCTTGTCGAAGAGAATGTCCTTGAAGGTTACGGTGGATTGATCTTCAATGGCGGAAACTGGGAAGTCTATGTTGTTGGAGCGGATAACGGAGCCATCGCTATAGAGTTGAAGGAACCCCATGCAGTCCTCAACTACGTGCGGAAGGGAACCCATTCAAATTTTTATTATTGTGTTGTGTGTTTGCGAAATTGCTTGTGTGAGTGGAAATGAGACACTACCAATGTATATATAATTCCACAATGGTGGTGGTGGTAGTAGCTAGGTCTGCTATTAGTGGGGATTATTGAGGGTCATTATGTAATTTCAGGATAAGATTATTCAATTTGCTGCCACATTTATCCTTAGCTATTGGTTCTTTTCTTTTTTCCTTTTTTCCCCCTTTGAATATAATTCCTTAGGTAGTTAGATTAGATGAACCGTCGTGACTCTAGGAATATTTAATTTGATTAATCTGGAAGGGTACAAAGCTTTTGGTGAAACCTTATGCCTTAAGTTGTTAAATTAATTAATATGATATAAGCATGCAATACAGTCAAGCGCTTGTGATGGACGTATAATTGCAAGTATGAGGATATGAGGGAAATTATAAATTGCAATGCCTTTGGGGAAATGAGACAAAGATAGGGGGATTTAACATTGAGTTGTGTCTCCCACTTTAAGTCGATGTGTGTGTGGATTGTATAGACAGTTAATTTAATTAACAATTGTAATAAATAATAGGATAATTGAATGAGGCATTATTGAATGTTCAAATGTACAGAACATATATATTAATTGGGGTAATGAATATTCTACACATGTTTACATGCCAAATGCTAAGTGCCCGTTTTTGTCGGTTTTTTTTTTTTTTAATGAATGAAAAATAAGAAAATAAAATTATTATTAGGAGGTGTTGAGAGGAATTTCTAGTTTTTTTTCCTCTCTAACAATATTTTTTATAGTTATTCGTCAGTTTTGTCTATTCCACCTATTTTGATCTGGTTGAGTTGAATATTTTAACTCATCAATTTAATACGACGTTGTGGGTTAAAGTTAGTCAATCTTTGAAAAAAGACTTTTTGACTTTGTTTCTTTTGCTTAGCCCCACAATAAATTAGAGCGTTACTATTATGTCACTATTTTCAGATTTCAAATATTCTAGAATAGAAATATATTAATAGGTTTCTATTTTATTTTAATAGAAGAAAATTCAACTTAATATTAAATATAAAAAAGTGGACAAAGAATATTAAGAAACAATTCAAAAATAGAATTGGGAAAAGTGAAATTTTAGGAGGAATTATTAGTTTTTCCTTAGAGTTCGATTCCTTCTTGCCAGTGTATAATGTGTTAGATTTTTTGTTTTAATGTAAGGTAATAAGTATATTTTATTTGTCATGCTAAATTTTTATGATATTCCATCTTGCCATTTTTGGTCGGTTATTTTTTTTAACGAATGAAAAATAAGAAAATAATATTATTATTAGGAGGTGTGGGAGGAGTTTCTATTTTTTTTTTGCTTTCCTCTCTAACAATATTTTTTATAGTTATTCGTCGAGTCAGTTTGTTTATTCCGCCTATTTTGGTCTGGTTGAGTTGAATATTTTAATTCTCCAATTTATACGTTAGTCAATTTTTGAAAAAAACTTTTTGACTTTGTTTCTTATTTTAAACCCCACAATAAATTAGAACGTTACTATTATGTCACTATTTTCAGATTTCAAATATTCTAGAATAGAAATATATTAATAGGTTTCTATTTTATTTTAATAGAAGAAAATTTGACTCAATATTAAATGAGAAAAATATTTGTCCTTTTAAAGAACACAAACTTAGGTCCTGTTATGGAATATTTCCATATCCTAACCACCTACCAAGGATCCCTTACAGGATAATTATTCAATTATCCTAACAATATAAAACAGTAAGGCAGGATCCCTTAAAGGATAATTATCCAATTATCCTAATAATATAAAACAGTAAGGCAGCTAAGGATAGAGTCCCTATCTCAACAGAAAGGAAGTTAAATCCTACTACGACTGGGAGATCTACACAAGCCCAGGAGGTAACCCTTATAAATAAGAGATTAAAGACCTCAAGTACACACCTTGAACTCATTTACTACTTCTGCCCACACTGTGCATACACTCACGTCTCGGTTATAAGCTCATTGCTTGTGCGCAGTGACGGGAATAATGGCTATAAGCCAACGAAGATACCTATCCATAGTATGAGCGCATACCATACGATATAGCAATACAGTCTTTTCCGGACCAAACATGTCCTTTTACGAGAGATATAGACACAAAAAGGTAAGATCTACATCTTTATTTTTTCAGTGAGACTCACACCTTTTTGTATCTATCTCTCTTTTAAAAGAATCTAAGTTTGTGTCCTCTAAGAGGACAAACACTTTTCACATATTAAATATAAAAAAGTGGACAAAGAATATTAAAAATTAATTCAAAAATATAAATGGGAAAAGTTAAATTCTAGGAGGAATTATTATTTTTTCCTTAGAGTCCGATTCCTTCTTGCCAATGTATAATGTGTTAGATTTTTTCTTTTAATGTAAGGTAACAAGTATATTTTATTTGCCATACTAAAATTTTATGATATTCAAGATTTTTATCTTAGTACTTCTCTAGAAAAGATAAAAAAGAAAATACTTGATTTATGAAAATATTATCCATGTATGAAGGTAAAAATAAGTTCTTTAAGGACTTGTGAGCCCGAGCACTACCTACATTTAGATTTGAGATTATAAAACATGAATGAAGATTTAAGATAAAATAATACAATACTATAAAATTTATAAGATAATTTTTATTTTTAAATTTTTATTTTTTTATTATTTAAATTAGTTTATCTGCCAACCAATCATAAAACCAGCTGGTCAGTTAATATTTCGAAACATTTCTAAAAAATGGATTGACCCTGAAACTTGGTTGCTCTTGGAGACTTGAGAAGATGAGTATAGTGAAATCCATTATGTGTGAGAATATAAGAATTGAGCCTGATTTTACTTTCCTACATTATCCAAAAAAAAAGAAAAAAGAATTGAGCCTGATCGGCATTTGAGATAAAAAAAAAAAAAAAAAAAGTGTGAGATATATTTACAGATGATCTTCCGATACCAATATTCTGCAACCAAGTGTCTGTTAGGTAAAAAAGGCCCTCACTTTGTCGATTGAGTGTGGAAGCGCTGCGAAATGAGGTGGATCTTTTAATGTAAAAAAATAGTGATATCATCGTGTTATTTGATCACAATTATTCATTGACGATGAGATAAGAGAGAGAAAAATATATTGATCAAATAACATGATCACATGACTATTTTTTCACATAAAAACATCCACTCCCCTGCGAAATGAGATCATCTTCGGTACATCTGTAGTAGGTACATCTGTCATTCAACAAGTGACACTCAGATAAAAAAAATATTTTTCTCTTTTTTTCATACAAGATAACAGTCACTCCTAATTTTTTATTAGATAAATACACTGAGTAAATGGTACAACTATTATTATAGATATTTTCCTGCGAAATAGACAACATCGATGTAGATTCCAATTTTAAATGAGATTTTCGGAGTAAAAAATCATAAATTACTCGACAGCTTTAACCTAATTTTTTTAGTCAATATCTTTTTCTTTAGCTCAGTTTTAAGCTTAAAAAAGGCTTTAAAGCTAAAAGCTAAAAAAAAGTTGGACCAACCGTGACATTATTAATCACATTATTAAATAACGTTTCATAGAATGTAATTTTTATCGATCTAAATATTTAATTATAACTATTTATTATCTTGATTATTTGTATCAAGTCTTATAAAAGTTGAACAACAATAGAATTATAATTAAATGATTCATATTTTCTTATATTTCAAAATAATATATTATATCAAACTTGATTTATATTAGCGAAGTATTAAATAAATTTTGATTAATATAATATTATATAAATATAATTTATGGGTAAAACTAATCTTATATTGCATAAGATAGTATATCTCATGTTGTGAAACAAAATCAAGGTGAGACCTTTCTTGATTTTTTTTTCTTTTTTTTAGTAGGTTCCACTTTGATTTTATTTCACAACATGAGGTACACTATCTTATGCAACATAAGATTAGTTTTCCCCATAATTTATATGATAGAATCTTTAATTTAATCTTACAGTAAATTTTGATCTAAATCATATAATAAAAAAACTAGAATAATAATCTTAACTTATATTGATGTAAATCAATACTTCCTAGTAATTAGTATATTACTAATAGTTATTATTTGGATACTAGTTTTATTAGTACCCTTGTATTCATCTTAATAACAAGTTTTACATTACATCTTAATAGTTTATTTTCGTATATTTAACGGTTAAAATTTATTAGGTTATAATTAATTAACTAGTATTACCGAATAAATCTTAATCATTGGATGCATGAAAAATAACAGTTAAGATATGATGTAAGATTTATTATTCTTACATCAGTATAAGTGTCTGTTTGGATCCTCTTATTTTTAAATTCTCTTTTTCTTATAAGCAAAAATTATACCAAACAGGTTTTGAGAAACACTCTTATAATAAAAAACTCTTTTTTTATAATAAAAAAAAGCCAAGAGTCAATTGTTTCTAGGATGAGCTTTTTTTTAAGCTCTTATTAGCTTTTCTTGAATTGTGTGCTTTTTTATGTAATCATCAAATAACTTTTAACTTTTTATTAAGCTCTTTTTTTTATCTTTAGCTTAAAAGTAGCTTATAGCTTAAAAAAGAAAGAATTCAAACAAGTTCTAAGAATAATAAATCCTATACCAAATCTTACCAATTAACTTCCGTGCATATAACAAATTAATGAGTGTGACCCAATAAATTACAACCATTAAAAGCACGAAAATCAATGATTAAAATTTGATGTAATACTTCTTATTCGTACACTTGTGTAAGTTGATCCTGCCCCTATATATATGGGTCATGACTATTTTATACCAATGTAAGTTAATTAAACTCTCAATTTTGATCGTTGATCCTATTTATATCTAACAGTTCTGATTTATTAGATATTTGAGCCGTTAAATGTAAGCAAATCACTGATCAAGATTTGATGTAAGACTTATTATTCTTATACCAATATAGAAATATTTTGCCCCTATACATATGAAAAATATTTATCATTT